AAAATTCAGATCCTATCTATCTCAAACTATAAGTGTTGACTACAGTCAATGGGCAGATATAGAATATTTAAAAATAATTGTATACAAAACATAATTATTTTGTTGCCAACGTCCAAATATTTTGTGTTTGCAAGCGTATCACGAATGTGGTTTTTCAAATTAACGTGAATGCTTGTTCTTGGTTTGTGAACTTTGACTTTTTGGTTGTAGAAAATGTTTTCCTAAATATGATGAGTATTCATTTCTTGGATTTCGCTATAGAAAATCCAACTCATTTATCTTTCGTTATATATACTTTTTTTTTTTTGTCTTGGTTTTAGTTTATTATTAATTCTCTTATGTACGTAGCCATTTTTATTATCATTCATGTGTGTACTAATTACAGTTTATTAATTGATTTCTTTTAAATGTATTATTTGTATGTTTATTTTGTTATGTTTTTGGTTCATTGCCTGTGTAATGAATAAAGAGTGTTAAACTATTATTTAGTTATTTAAATGGTTTTATTTACTATTATGATATGATCAAAAATAAAATAAACACTACTACAAATAAAGCTTTCAACATCGATTCTAATAAACTGACGTTGAAAGTATGATATTTTAGAAGTTCCCTCTCTTTTTATATTATATTTTTATTAGGTCCTCCATCTCTTTATATTATATTTTTTAGAAGTTTTTTAATTTTTCAAGAGAATTGTCATTGGCGAGATTGAACCTAAGTACTTTAGAGTTGGAGGTCGATACTCCAACCACTAAACTACTAGAATTTTCGATTAATAACTTACAAATAAATTATATTTATATACAAATAAATATATATCCGTGTAAATATATAAATACAAATATATTTATATATTTTGATATATTTATATAGTTATATATTTATATGTTGGATGTGAGGGCACACTCGAAAGTGAAAGTGTGTGTCGAGTAGGTTTTCAAAATTTGATGCTAAATTTGTGAGCGAGTATCTTTATATGAGTTTGTAATTTAATGACAGAATATAATCTTTATAATTTTATTTATATAATTATATAAAATAAATTTGGAAAACGTGTTATTTGCTCTCAAGGAAAAAATACCAATTTTCGCTCAAGCGAGACTTGAGTGAGTGAATTTTCGTGAGCTTTAACATATTTTCACTCAAGCAAGAGTCAATCACACTTTCACCCTCGATCGAAAAATACCAATATAATTTATTTGTAAGTTATTATCAAAGAATTATAGTAGTTTAGTGGTTGGGATATTAACTTTCAACCCTAAAATACTGAGTTCAAATGCTATCGATGACAATTCATTAACTTAAGAGAATTTTGAGTTGAAAAAAAAATAAAAATACTTTCCGAGAAAATATATACAAATAAATATATATTTACATGGATATATATTTATTTGTATATAAATATAATTTATTTGTAAGTTATTATCAGAAAATTCTAGTAGTTTAGTGGTTGTAGTATCGGTCTCCAATTTTAAAGTACTAGGTTCAAATCCTGCCAATGACAATTTTCAAATTTAAGTGAGTTTTTGGGTGAAAAAAAATAATAAAAAAAGACTTTCCACGTCGGTTCATATGGGAACCGACATGGAAAGTGTCAATAAGTAAAAATAAAAAAATACTTTCAACGTCGATTCATATGGGAACCGAGCGTAGAAAGTACTTTCTACGCTCGGTTGACTAAGAGCCGACGTAAAATGTGTTTAATATTCAATTTCAACGTCGGTTCATCCGGGAACCGACGTGGAAAGTACTTTCTACGTCGTCTCAGCCTATAACCGACGTTAAATGACGACGTAGAAAGTATATTTTGTAATAGTGAAAAAATTATGTAAATTAAATTACATAATTTAGAAAACATAATAATTTACCAAAAATAAAGAAAACATGAATTAAATTATTGCTGAAAGTAGATTGTAAGAGTAGCGAATAATTTAAAAATAAAGAAAGAATACAAAATCTTTGGTATTTGTTTGGATGAAATGATGAAAACTGAGGAAGTGGATAAACAAAGGAATAGAAATAAAGTGTAAATAAAAGTTGTTTGGATTAATGCAATTATAGAGTAAGAATAAGTGAAAACAAATTATAAATATATATAATTGATTTAATAAAAGTAAAAAATCTTATTAGATATATTTTTTGCAGTGTTCAAATCGTTTTTTTTTAATTAAACATGTGTATAGAGAAAATTGTGAAGATTAATAGATAAAAATATATTCCAAGCTTCTATATTGAACACAAACATCCACATGATCAATAATGCTACATCATTAATTATGTGATAATTCTATGGGGAAAAAAATATTTTTTAAATTCAAATACCATCGTAAATGAATGCAAAGGACAAGAGTGTTTTGAAAAATAAAATAAAGAAAACTACGAAGTGTACTTAACAAATTAGGTAGTATAAATAGTAGGAGCCCATGCATAATTATCATCCGTTATACAATAATTTCTTAGCTTGATCCATTTCATTTCCTGTATTCCATGTCTTCCCTTATAATATCTGGGCTAAATTATGCATATTTTTGTTTGAAAAACAATTATTTGGGCCAGACCAGGCCAGGCCCCATATATATATATATATATATATATATATTCTTATAAACAACTGGATTCGTAGTAATTAGGATTTATTTGAAAGACTCTACATTTGAGAAATAATTTTTGAATCTGTATGAAGAATTTAATATAAAGAAATAAGTTGGTAAAATATAATATTTGTTTACTATGGTAAAAAAGTAATATAAAAATTTGAGTTGATATAAAAACTATTATTGTCTGCATTTAATATTTGGGCCAAATATTTATATATTTGGATCGCAATGATAGAAAAAGAAGGCCCAAGCCTTATATTTTATATTTTTCGTTTTATACGATTGGTTTCATAATAGCTGGATTTATTTTAAAGTTTGTATATATTTGAGAATTATTAATAAATATATATTTTTATGCATAAAAGAAATAATTTGTAAAAATAACGAAATAAAACTAAATTAATGTAAAATAATAAAATTTCTAAATATTTTAAAACTATATATATATATATATATATATATATATATATATATATTAACATATATGTATATGCAACAATAATGATATTCATAACAATGTATAAATCAAAATTATAATAAATAAATAAAGGGAAACATTTACAGTTAAATAAAAATCAAATATTTTCCTAAGTACCTAGGTTAACTATATATCCTTTATGTGCAAATAATAGTCAGTTTCTTTTAAGGAGACTTAATTATGTTTGTAGTACTTTAGATTAAATATAATTTTAAATTTTAAATTAAAAAAATAGTTGTTCCCTTAAATTTTGAAAAATATGATTTTAATTTCTAAGCACTAAATTTGAGGGACCGAAAAAAAAATTAGTATTTAAAATTCAATCCTTACAAACTATAATACCAAAACTTTCTTAATTTAAGAAACTAAATTTGAGTTTTTTTTTTTTAATTTGGAAGACTAAAATTGGATTTACCTCAAATTTCATGACGAAAAAGTAAATGAAACCTAAAATAAATTAGTAAAAAAATTGAAAGAAAATTAATTATTTAATTATTGACAACAACTTGGTAAACTGTCCTTTCATTTAAGGTCACATATATATTATCCTATAAATCTTGTACAGATAAAACATGTTTTAAAGTTATGTTATTGTACACTAAGATCATAACACATTGAAAAGCACACATTCTAACATTCAAAAAGATCTTCAAATTTTCGTTTTGTCATGTATGAATCGATGATGTGATTGGAGAATTATGAAGTATAATTGATGTTTACAAAGGACATTTCGATAATTAGAAGTTAAATATCATGTCGCAATATTAATTTACATTCAAATTATTATAGATATTATATATCTTATCCTATGATTTCTCATAATTACTTAGGTTTATCCTAAACCATGTATGTTAGTGATTTTGGTTGAAGTTTGAACAGGCTTTATCATCAAAGAATATTTAAGTAATTTGTTTGAATTATTAACTTGGATTCATCTTGAGGAGATATAGTACAAATAATTTAAGAAGTTATAGTAAATTTGGTGGGATAAAATATGGACATAATATTAGAATGAGACAAATCAAAATAATTATCTTAATTTCTATTATTCTATTCTCTTATCTTACAATTATCTAATATCGTGTTTCAAAATTATATTTTTTATCATTTACAATAAAATATTACTTACCATTGTTCCTTCGTATAATTTTTTTTTTAATTTTTATATTGACTAAAATTAAAGACTACTTTGAATGAAATGCTTTTTTCTAATTAGTGGATATTAATGACATTTATTATGAATTAGATATTAAACTAGTCTCTAATTAAGTTTGTGATTAATTTTATCATCTTAAATACCAACAATTTAGTTTCTAATAATAATTTTTCTGGTAATGATATATATATATATATATATATATATATATATATATATATCTTAAAATTTATACAAAATTTCGAAATATTTAACAATTAAAATTAGTTTCATTTAGATTAATTAAATTTAGAAACACCTATTTTACTTTTATATTTTTCATGTAAAATCATTTTTGACCTATTTTGCAACTCCTTAACCTTCAAAGTTTCAAGATTCTTGGGAATCTATTCTGTGAAAATCATTCTTTACGATGCTGATATTAACGAAAGTCAAAGATCACCTTAGTTTGAAAACACCATCATCCATATTTAATATAAAAGTTCCCATCCAAATCACCCACTGAGACTCAATGCCATGCTCAAGAACAAGCAAAACTACTAATATTTGGTGGTGAGATAGGAACACTAAGACGATAGCATTGAGGCAGCAATATGCATGCACTCACTTTAGGTTTCCAAAGACCTTAAAGAGAGAAGAGGAAAACAAGAAAACCTCTTTTCCTTTTTCCTTCATTACAACATTGAGCAGTAGTGATAGGGTCTTAGAGAAATTAACCCCAGCAATTATTAATGCATATTTATTTCCTTTGCGAATAACAATGTCGCTATTTATTATGAGTTGATGTGCTAACTGGGAGCTGTTGTGCTTCTGTCTCCTTTGTTGCTGTTGCTGATGGGTGTTCGAGTGAATAGTCTTTGGCTTTACCCCACACCACTGAGTAAAGACCAACTACGATGATGGTGGCACCAACGACACTGATATAAATGTTGCAGAAAAACAGAAAACATCATTCAGAAAAACAGAGATAACAACAAAATATTAAAATATCTAGATTGAACAGTACCTTCCTAAGTAGAGGTGTTCTCCAAGAAAAAAGGAGCCCAAGGTAGCAACGATTATCATTAACAGAGGATTAAAGGATGTCATGAACACTGGTCCTCTACTTTTCATTACCAGCCCTTGAACATAATACGCTATTCCTGAACTCATTATTCCCTGAAAATTTTCTAACTTATTACTGAAACAAATTTAACATTAAAAATAAATAAAAAAACACTAGACATGATCAATAAAATTAAATAGTTTTATACTGTTATTTAATCATAAATTACGATAAATTTACTGATATTTTAAATAAATATTTTAAACATTATAGCATAATTCAAAATTTTGCTTTCGAGGTAAACTAATGATATAAAATTTTATTTAAAATAAATTGAATGATATTTTCTCCAAAAAAAATAAATTGGTGAACAGTTTATGATTTTGATTTGTGTTCCTTATTTTTTAAAAGAAAACAATTTATGTCATAATCAGATAATTTTGTAAAATTTCACTGGAATTTTCATGACCATGAAGTAGATAAGCTTTGAATGAACCTATATTCTTGCCATCAATCTAGCTCGTAGGTCAGATATGATATGTGATAAGAAACTAGAAATCACTTAGAAACGAGATTCGACCAACAATGACGGATCAAAGTCTACCTTCACGTTGAGAGATCCATGAATTTTGTAGAAATAATATAGGAGAATTAGGAAACAGTGACACAAACCAAAAGTTCTTACTTTTATGTATAATAATGAAACAAAAATGTTTACATCAATGGCATAAGTCATGTTATAAACGTGACAATTTGTCCCCCAATGAAAATTATGACAACGGAAAAGTGGTCAGTTTTAAAAAATATACGAAAATATATTTCGACCACAATTTTTCATAAATGATTTTAGAAAACAAAATTAAAAAATTTAATATAAACTTATACATATATTAAAAATAAAAAATTAGAAAAGTCAGTAAAAATTTATTAAATGTTATCTAATTTTAGAAACAAAAGTTTAATATTATATTAATTAAATTAGAAATTATTTTAATTAAACTGATTTTTAAATCAGAATCTAAATTCTAAATTAGTCTCTAATTGAATTGATGATTATTTAATTATTTCATAAACTAATAATTTAGCTTCTAATAACAATTTTCTATGATAAATTATATAATTTTTTTTATAAATTAACTTATATACAAAATAATTTTAGTCTATAAAAACATTAATTTTATGTTTTTATTTTTATCTTTTAAAAACACTTATGCAAATAATCGTCCAAACAAATTCATAAAGTATTAATAGTCCTGTTTTATCTTTCTTGATGTTTATACAAAGGGAGATATAATATACCTTTATTTTATTATATATATGAAATTTTGATGGTACACTCTAAAAAGGGTATTGGGAATGGAAGAAGAAAAAAATAAAAATAAATGGTGTAATATGAATAAAAAAATAAAATATGTAAGAAAAATGAGATATAATAGAAAATTAAAGTTTTATCTTTTTAGTTTGTTAATCTGTTTTTACTTGTGTTATCTAATAAGTTATTTTAAAAAATATTTATATATTAAATGAAAAATTATAACTTAAAATATCACATTTTTTATATTATATTATTAATATATATATATATATTATAATTAAATTATAAATATTAATTAATTAAATTTAAATTTAAATTATTATTATTATAATTTAATATTTTAATATGTAAATATATATATATATATATATATATATTTAATTTATCTAATAAAAATATTAACTAATAAATAAATACTTAAAATATTTATATAATTAAAAATATATTTTAATAAAAATGAAAATTAAGATATATAATCCGTTTTATCACGAAAAAACACATCTCATCTAATCTTTAAAACGACCAACAGGTAAATAATAATATATATATATATATATATATATATATATATATATATATATATATATATATATATAACATAATATTTTATAATACCAACTATAATACTATTTTTATTTTATAGAAAAATTATAAAATTTTAAGTATTTGATATTGAAAATTCTTATCATTAAATAATGTTTATATCATTTAACATTGATTTAAAATTCCTTCATAATAATGTGCGAAATTAATGGGACATATATTTTTAAAAGATATAAAAATAATAACTCTTTCATTATATATTTATATTTGTTTAATTTTAATTAAATTTGACAGAAGACATTCAGAATTTGTCAATATTGTTTTAAAGAATGGTGTAACTCAATTAAAAAAAACTAATATTTAATTAGATTTCAGTTTAGAAGTTAAATTTCTTCCTCTCATTCAATCATGTTCTGTATATATCTTGACTTACAGAATAAAGAGGGCCATAGAGGGTGTAGTCGAAACGAATAGCCCATGTACCAGGGTTGTGATCTGCAATGACAGCAACCACAGCACTCTGCAATGCACCTGCCAAGCATATCATAGATGACAGTGACAATTCTGCAGGGTACCTTTTTACTGTGATAGACTGCACAATACATTTTATTCTACGTTAGATCACAACAAATATTCACTGATCACATGCTAATATATGCATATATATATAATTTAATCACCTGCAAAATGTAGAAGCAGGACCAAGCCAAACAACCAAGGCATAAAAATAGGGTCCCTGTGACCCAGTGTTTGTGACCCTCATGGGAGTGACTTTCATCTTTCTGGTAACCACTGTTTGAATGGTTAAAAATATTGATTTGGGGGCCTTTGTAAAGTGTCATCAACAAAGCCCCACCAAAGGTTACCAAGGTTCCAATTACCTTCGCTTTACTGCGTATCTCCTTCAACTTTACATGCTCTAACCTGACAACACAATTCAAAATTTACTTAAAAATCATACTATCATAATTTCTATTCATTGACAGTAGTGTAAAAATCATTTACTCATATACAGTAATTCAATGCATATTGAATATGTCACCTGAGAATTACTGCTATGACAAAGGTTACAGAAGGTACAGCGTTCATAATAGCAGATGCAAATGAAGCCGAAGTGTATTGCATCCCCAAACTCGTGAAGCTTTGGTCAATCACGGGCCTAAAAGTATCATACAACACAGTCAAACTCACAAAAGTTGCTTTAAGTTTGACTAGACTACGTAAAATTCTCTGTTGTCTTCATCTATTGATTGAATAATAAAGGATTTGTCTCCTTTAATTTACTTTTTTACCTGTAAATTTATGGAATTTAACACTCTTCACTTTACCTTAAACTTTAGGGAGTTTAAGATGTAGAAAAAATAGTTTAGGAAACACATGCTGAGTAAGTGTTAAGTTTAAAAGGTGTTATTTATTTTTTTCTTTAGTTGAATTTTTAGTCTGATACGTTTATCTATACTAATAATAAAGTTATAAAGGATTTTTTTTTCTATGAATTCTTAGTTCTGGTATGCACAAGTGTTTAACTTTTTTTTTTTTTTTTAATATTTTCATATTTACAGAGCAATCATTTGTTTGCTTAAAAGTGAAGCTGTTAAAGTACAGTCAATTATTTTATACGTCATGCATGGGGGAATGGTGATGGTGAATAGATAGGATTCAGATAATTACTCAAGAAATCCAAGGGCTAGTATCTGCATGAAGATAGACAGTGTCATTTTCGGCCTAACGTTCCTGCAAAATTAAATACAAGATAACTAACTAAACAAAGTTGTAAAAGCATAAAACAATTATGACAGACATAGAATAAGTGCTGAAAAGTATAGTTAATCGTTAATTTGTGAAGAGCATATGCGTTATTATATCGCAAAAAGAGTTGAACCTTTCAAAGATAATCGCAAAAGGAGCAAGAGCAAGCGCAGCAATAACATTGCGATACACAGTTAACACAAAACGACTCATTCCATGATCCAAACAAGCCTTAGTGAAGACGAATGTTCCAGCCATTGCAAATTGCAACCCCACAGTTAACAAATAAGGCTTTGCCAGATTGAACTTGTTGCCAAAACTGGCACCATACTTTTTCTGCATCATCATTTGTTAAGCACACAGTTTATAAATTTTCCGATTACTTGCTACTAAGACTAAGAAGCTGCTATCTAATGCATGAAATGGCTTCCCTTATAACGACCAAGAAGGGTGGTTAAGACAAAATCCACTATGAAATTGTAGTAGAAATATCTGGGACCACTGTCTAAAGTTCTGCTTTTGGTCACTTCTCATTGAACCAATTATCCTCATTGTAAAGTTTCCACTGAACAACTAAAGTAACGATACATTGTTTTTTTGGAGTAACATGACGTTCCCTTACTTGATTCTCTTACTGAACATTGGCTGATGTTAAGGTTCTAACATAAAACCAATTGACTGTACGTGGATTAGCCTAACATGTATTTAAACCATACCAAATGACATGAAGTAGGCGATGTGGAACTTTCAACCATGGTTTTAAATTCTGGCCACAACTTAGGTATATTTTGATAAATATATATTTTCATAATACAAACAAAAAATTTATTTAAGTTAATTAATGCATAAATTAATATGTAAAAGTTATTTTATATGTTCTTATTCAAATTTTATTTTTTACTTTGCAAATAAACTAATTTCAAATTTATAGAAAAAACGATTTAACTTTTTTTCTTATTTCTTTTCTCTTAAAAACTCTTGTAATTTTTTAAAAATACCTACACTTAGCGCTTAATGTTGATCGTATCTAAGGTAGCATTTACATTCAAGTTTTTTCAATGTTAAAGATCGTGACGAAATTATAGTTATAACCACAATTTAAAATTGTCACTTCATTACTATTCACGTTTAACATTAATTAATATCTGCTTCTGCGTTCCTACACAATTTTAATTTAACAACTACAGTTAGGTCTAGAAGATTGCCACCTTAAACATATCAAAGTTTTGCAGCTTTTGGTTGCAATAATAGAAGGTTTCGTTATATGTAATTGCGAATAGTTCACAACATAAAATAGAATTTTTACTACTTGTTATATGAATTAAAATTTTCTTAGTTTTTCTTTTTATTACATAAAATATTAATATTAAAAAATAATAACTAATTCTATTATAATTTTATATCATACTCTTTATTTCAATCATTATACGTATTAGTTTTCTAATATTTTTTTATAGATGGTAGTTTTTTTATATATATATTTTTATCGCCATTACGTTAATTAGTTAAATAACATAATGAAATTATAATATGGAATTAAAATGATGATATTTCTACTTTATTTAAAATTTGATTGAAATATTTTAAGTTACAGTAAAGATACATAATATGAGAAAATAGAATAATTTAAAATAAAAGGTATAATTTAAATAATTTAAATGTGAATAAAAAATTACAAAACTATAAATATAAACTAAAATTATAAGCATTATAAAATTTGTTGTTATAATTCAAAAAATTAAAACTATATAAAATATCATATTATAACATATTTATTTATGTCATGTAATTTTTATTAGTTATTTCAATAGTAAGTTTAATTATACAATTAGAATTTAATAAATTAATTTTATATTTTTCAACTATCATCTACAAATTTTCAATAGGAAAATGATGGATTGAATCCGAAATTTTATCAACATCCAATTAACATTCTTAAAATAATAATTATTTTCATATTGATTTAATGAGTGTGAGGTGAAATAAATAAATAACAATATAAAAATATAAACATATTTATTGGAGAGATAAAAGGTGTCTGTTTAACATAATTCTTTTCAATATCATAACTTCGAACTAATTTTGTCAATATCTTATTACTTAACTCACATTAATTACTTATTACACTTCTTAAATACTAAATACCCTTTATTTTTCTTTCTAAATTTATACTTTTTTATATTTTCATAATTATATATAATATGCACCATAGATATTACTTATTTTTACAGGTTATGATTTCTTCAGAAACAAGACTAGAATCCTTTATTTTTCGTTTAGCTTAACTTTTCTTTTATATCCTAAATATGTTTTGATTTAAATCTCTCATAATTTTTTTCTTACATTTTATTCTTACAAGTTATAACCTTTTACTTAAAAAACAAAAGAGAGAAAAAAATTAACAACTATTGTTTCCGCATAAAGAAATTCTTAGAACTGTACATTGGTATGAATTTAATTTAAACCGCTTTAACAAAAAAAAATCCAAGAAATTAACTTTATTATTAATTGAAAATATTAAGGAAAACTAAGTACGACAATATAATCGGTAATTTTTCATTTAAATAATATTATCATAATTTAATAAATTATTAACTTAATTTTTATTAAAGACAGATGTATAAAAGTATATCAAAACAAAATAGTAACAATAAAAATATAAAGGAACTTATATCAAAATTTATGAAAAAGAAAAAGGAGAAATAAATACATTTTCCTAAAAACCTTATTTTTAATTTAAATATGTCATTTTTTGAATTTGATACGTTAATAGGAGTGTCAAAGACAATCAATATGAAAAAAAAAAAAAACTAAATGTTCGATAAAAAAAATACTAATCTGAATTAAACCGAATCATTTTAGGTTACATTATTTAGTTTGTGATCTAAATGTAGTTAGGTAAATGTCGTCAATATATTAATAATTATATTTTAAAAACTATAGACATGATATATTGTTCTATGAAAAATATATATGGTCAAATCATTATATTTAAATATAAAATTAAATTAATATAATTAAAATTATTAAAATATGTTGTATTTGTATTTAAAATTATATTTTAATAATTTTATATATTTTTTAAATATTTGAAAATGACATATTGATAAAAAAAACTATTTAAATATTTAAATATAATTTTTTTGGATATCCCTCGGATGCCCTTGTCAACGGTCAGGACAGAAAAGGACACATTTAAAACATTATTACGCATGTGTATGTCGGAATTGAATTTTGGAAAAAAAAATATAGTACCTTATTTATTTTAGTTTCTTTAAAAAATTGAATAGATTAAATTTTATTCTTATTTTAAACAGATTATTAAAATTTAATTGTAATAAACTTAGTCAGAAAATCTTTAGTATGAAATTAAGGAGGAACTCTGAAATAAAATCTGTGAGCAGCTTGTGTGTTATGATCTATCCATTGGAATGTTGAGTTCATTGTAGGCCATTAACATACCGTACCATTAAGGGCGTGATTTGATCATTGAGAAACAACTACCTTTATTCAGGGTTGAAAATAAAAAGTGAAATAATATCAATGTGATTTGTTGAAGTTTGATTGGTGTGCTTTATGCAACTTGTCAAACTCAAAAGAAAATATTCACAAATAATGGTACTCCTTCCTTCTGATCCTTGTTATCAAGTATTGTAGATAAAATTACACATATAAAAAAATAATTTATTTCATTTTATTGATTTTTAATTTGTTTATTAATCCTCATTTTTTTACTCTTATTATTATTATTATTAGAATAATTAATAGTTAAATAGATAATTGTGTTTTTAATAGATATAAAGATAATTAAAAAAAATATTTAAACTATAAAATATCTTATATTAAAATTAACTTATTTTTTCCAACATTTTGTCTTATGATAGAAAGAAAAGAAAGCATAATATTTAAATTATAATTTTTGAAGTCAAGATTTTATTTAACCATCAAATCTTTAAAAGATATTTAACAAAAAGTTAAGCTTTTTAAAAGATATCAATTATTAGATCTTAAAAATTTATTATTTACTTTTTTTTATATTAATATATAATAATTATTATAATTGTAGTTATAATAATAATAATATTATTATTATTATTATTTCATAACTTTTATCATATATTTATTATTATTACATTATTATCGTGACTATTATCACTTACAATATGATAATCATTATTTATTCAATATTACTTTTAATAGTGATATTTTTTAGAGCATGGATTAGTTTAAATTTAAGATATTTTTCATTAAAATTGAATAGAAAACATTGTACTTGAAAGTGGGTTGAATATGATTTGGCCGAGGCCATACAAAAGATATCTACATCTTTTAGGTTGTCTTTACTAAACTTTTGCCTAAGTTTAAGTCTTGTATTACAAGATTTATTCTTCAACTCTTATCAATTACACATATATTTTTGTCTTCTAGATCTACACATCTTTAAATTGAGCTTAGTCGAGTAATGTTGTGAATTAGAACATATTCAGTTAGACATATTCATCCAGTCTCATCTATGAAAAATATTTTAACTAATCTCGGTTAAGTTGAATTTTGGTTGATCTTCTCAACACAAATTTTTTGTTATACTTGATAAACTCTCAGTTTTTTATTTTTTTCTCTAAGGTACCTTTTTTTTGTGCTACTACCACCTATTTGTTGTTAGTTTTGGAGGTGAATGATTGATTAATTTCCATCAAATAACATTATTTTTCTTTAACTTTGCATCCCTTTTTTTTTTAACTCTTCATGGGTTCTCCTTACTCCCTTTTATTTTTTTCATAGATGAAAATCACAATCTTGTTACATTACTAGAGCTCTTTTAAAGAGCTCTATCGTGTCACTCTAACTTCTATTTCTTCTTCATTGTTTTCTTTGATCTTTTTCTTTATTTCTTCTAACCATGGCAGATGGAAATTCGGTTCACAACTTCCTTTATCTTTGTCTTTAAAAAAATCTTGTAGCAACCCTTGTCTCGCCTGTTCTCGATGCAATGAACTATCACTCATGGAGTCAGTCCTTGTTCGCTGCTTTAAGTGTTAAAGATAAGGTTGAATTAGTTCTTGACACTACTCCTTAACCACCTAAAGAAGATTTGAATTTTTCTACCTGAAATCGTTGCAATAATATGGTGGCCTCATGGTTGGTTCACTCTGTTTATGTGTCTATTCGTCAAAGTATCATTTAGATGGACAAGGCTGTGGATATTTGGAATGATCTGAAGAGTAGATTCTCACAAGGAGACTTGACTCACATTTCTGATCTTGAAGTTGAAGTTGTTACCTTAACTTAGGGTGATCTCACCATTTTTTAGTATTTTACAAAATTAAGAGTTGTTTATGATGAGCTATACAAATTTTGGACAGATCTTATTTGTACCTACAAGACAAAATGTAGTTGTTAAGTTCTTTCTATCATAATATAGAGAAAAAGATCAAACCATGCAATTTCTCTGCGGATTAAACAACCGATATAACAATATTAAGTTTCATGTTCTGTTGATGGAGCTTATTCCCCCAATCATGATTTTTTTTTTCTTTTGTGATTTATCAAGAAAGGCAATTGTCCACTAGAAATCTGATTATTACGATAAAAAATAATAATCATATTGTTACTGTTAGTCCTATCACCTGTACCTGTTGTGGCAAAGGGGGACACATTGAGAATTTTTGCTATCATAAAAATGGTTTTTCTAATCAAGAAAAGAATAACTCCAAAAGCATTGGTACAAAGAAAATTTGCACTCATTATGGAAGAACTAGGTACACTATTGAGGTATGTTACAAAAAATATGGATATCCTCCTGACCAAATTTTCCAATAACAAACAAGCTTATAATGTTCTAACTCAAGAAGATAGTACTATTGTTAAAGATCAAAAGAATAATGATTCCAAAGATATTCACCTCACACCTCAATAATACCAAATCTTGGCTGATATTTTCAAAAATACTATCCATAACAATACTCAAGCTCAAATCAATCAAGTTAGGTATGTTTCATCCACCCATTCAATAACAGGTAATATCAGTCCTACTTATAAATTTAGATGTCTAAAAATCAATGAATATTAGATTCTAGTCCTACTGACCATATTTATGTTTCCCTTAATGCTTTTTCTTCTTATAAGCATGTAATTCCTATAAAGATTAGTTTACCTAATGACAACATGGTTACTAATGAATAAAGTGAGAATGTGTTATTTAATAATTATTTCTACCTTACCAATGTGTTTTATGTGCCACAATTTACTTTCAATCTCATATCTGTATCACAAATTATTTATTCTCTTAATTGTTAACTAATCTTTTGTTGTGATTGTTGTATTATATAGGACAACAATAAAAAAGGGAGGATTGGTTTAGCTAAAATAAGAGTTGGTCATCACATCTTTGATTTTCCTGAAACAAAGAATATTATACATCATATTTCTTCTTCTTCTTCTTCTAATTATGCTACTAAAAGCATTAACTTGTGGCATTCTCGCATGGGGCATCCCTCCCATGACAAATTAGTTATTTTAAAAACAAAATATCCTTATGTTTTCACTAACTCTTCATATGTTTGTGATATCTGTCACCTTGCTAAAAAAAAAGAAATTCTCTCTTTTTTTCCAGTGTTTCTTATAGTAATAAATTCATTGATCTTTTATACATTGATGTTTAGGGTCCGTGTCATGCTATTTCTATGAGAGGTTTTAGGCATTTTTTTACTATTGTAGATGATTTTTCTCGTTTTACTTGTCTTATACCCTTGTCTAATAAATTTGGTGTTTAAAAAATTGTTGTTGATTTTGTTACTAATATAGAAAATCAGTTTGATATTAAATTTAAAGTTATTCACATTGATAATGAGGTTGAGTTTATTTTGAATGATTTTTATTCCCTTAAAGGTATTATTCATTAAACCACTTGTGTTAAAATACTAGAACAAAATGGTATTGTAGAGAGGAAACATCAACACTTCTTATATGTTACTTGTTCCTTGTTATTTCAATCTAATCTTCCCACCATTTGTTGGTGTTTTTGTTGTCAAACATGTTGCTTTTCTTATTAATTGCATGCCTACACATATTTTAAATAATAATACTCTTTATGAAAAACTTTATGGTAATCTTCTTTTGGTTATTTGTGTTATTGTAATACTCTTATTACTAGTAGGAAAAAACTTAATAGCAGAGTTGTCCTTGGAATCTTTCTCGGCTTCAAACCACACATAAAAGGTTACATTTATTTGAATTTACAAAACCATAGAATTGAGGTATCCAAAAATATTTTATTTTATAAAAATCAATTTCCTTATAGGAATGACAAAAACCCTAATCTCAATAGTCTCTTCTTACCTATACCATATAATTATTCCAAGAACTATAATGATATTAATACTTGCACTTCTCGTAATGCACCTACTGATAACATTGATATACCTTTTGTTACTTTTGATAATACTGATCTTGATAAAATTCCTTATGAAAATGATAGTGTTGTTATTAGACAATTTGTAAGTCTTAGGAAAAAGCCTACCTATCTTTAAGATTTTCACACGAATGTTGTGATTAAATACCCTTTACAATATTTTGTTTCATATAAACACTTATCTCCTAATTTCTAACATACTATTATGTTCATATCTTCTTTCACTGAGCCATGCAGTTATACTGAAGCCCCAAAGTATCCCCTAATGGATTCAAGCTATGTGTGTGAAGGTTTGTAGGCCTTACACACTAATAACACTTGGACTATCACTACTTTACCTTCTGGAAAAACAACCATTAGTTGTCATTAGATCTACAAAATCAAACATAAATCAGATGGTTCAGTGGATAGATTTAAAGCCTGTCTTGGTGCCAAGGCTACACCCAACTCGAAGGTCATGATTATCTTGACACTTTAGCCCTAGTTGCCAAACTCACCACCCTTCACTTCTTACTTGTTGTTGCTACCTCAAATCAATGGATCCTGAAATAGTTGGATGTCAACAACGCCTTCCTCCACGATGATCTCAATGAGGAAGTATATATGAAGCTTCCATCAAAACTCATTACTTTGGATCCTACAAAAGTGTGTAAACTACAAAGATCTCTATATGACCATAAACAAGTTGGTCATCAATGGTATGCCAAGCTTTCTTTCTTTCTTACCTCTAATAAGTACATTTGTTCTTCATCTGATCATTCTCTATTTCTCAAACATGTTCATAATCACATAACTGTCATCCTTATTTATATGGACGACATTATCTTAACGGGAACTAATGTTGAGGAAATTCAACATATTATTTTTGCTTTGGACGATAATTTTTATATCAAAAACTTGGGAGACCTTTCTTACTTCCTGGGACTAGAAATAACTCGTTCTACTAGTATAGACCTTCTTCAAGAAACTGGTATGACAAATTGTGCTCCTATGCCTACACCTATGGCACATTTTTCACATTCTTCTTCCACCGATAACACTTTTCTCAATGATGAAGATATCTCTTCCTCTGTCGTTTAATTGGACATCTCTTCTACCTCACCAACACTAGATCGAACATTGCTTTTTTCTGTCAATCACTTGAGTCAAGTTGTTTCCTCACCTAACAGGCTGCTCATAGGATCCTTCGCTCTAAAGGGCACTCCAGGAAATGACATCTTCTTACAAAACAATACCACACATTAGTTAAAAGCTTACAATGATTCTGATTGGGTCACATGTCCTGATACTTGTAATCTATCACAAACTTTTTTATTTACTTTGACGATTCTTTGGTTTCCTGAAAATCCAAAAAGCAACAAATCATTTCTCGTAACTCTTCTAAAACAGAATATTGTGCTCTAGCCTTCACTACATATGAAATTCAATGGCTCACTTACATCCTTTAAGAGCTTCACACACCTTTCATCAAACCTATTTTTTTGTATTGTCATTCAAATTGCCTCTAATAAGGTGTTTCACAAGTGCACTAAACATGTAGAAACTTATTGTCACATTGTTCACGACAAACTCAACAAAAGCTTAATAAAACTTTTACCTATCTCCTTCGCTCTTTAAGCTCCTGACATTTTCACCAAGTCTCTCGCTCCAACCATACTAAAAAATCTTTATTCCAAGCAGAGAATGAAAAACATCTATTCTCAGCTTGAGGAAGATGATAAAATCTCTTCTTCTTTTTTTCTCTAGGATCTCTTTTTTATTTTTTTCTTTCTGTGTTATTTTTTCTACCGTCACTTATTTGTGGTTAGCTTTGAGAGTAACAACTATTTCTAGTTACACCGTTCTTCTTATTCTGCATTTTATATATCTTCGTTCCTCTTCTATTATAAATCATTGATTAATTTCAATTAAATAATTTTTTTTCTCTTTTTTTTTATTTCTTCTTCAATTTTGCTTCTTGTTTCTTTTTCTTTTTCTTTTTTTGCTACTCTTACTTGTTCCTCCTTGTTTTTTTTTTCATGGACGAAAATCACAATCCTATTATTCCTCAACCGGACTTCTATCAAACGACCTCACTTTAGGCATTTTAACATAGTATTAGTTGTGACATATTTTGTTAGGTTTATTTTTGTGTTTAAGTTTGATGCATTTGACTCAAATGCAATAACTACACATTCAGTTCAGGTTCACTTGGACCAGAGAATCAATTAATCAACTTTAGTGAAGAATAATATATGTGTAATTGATAAGAGTTGAAGAATAAATCTTGTAATACAAGACTTAAACTTAGGCAAAAATTTAGTGAAAACAACGTAAAAGATGTTCCTACTAGGGGTTAACCAAAAATTGTCAAAATTGATGCATTTAAAATTTTGGGTAAATTTAAGTTAAAATTCTTTTGTTGAAACTTATTTAAAAACGTTTAAAGAACTCTAGTAGCATTAAGAATTAAACTCACATATGTTTTCATAATAAATTGACCTGTCATGCATTAGATCCTTGGGAATCCTAAGAAGGAATCAGTTCTCTTGCCTTTGATTTGTACCATGGTTAACTTAGCATAATCTTGTTTAAGAGTGGGAACATACTATGATTTGTTATTCCTTATGTAACTAGAATTTTAATTTCTTCGTCACTTGTGGAGGGGGGAACTTTCACTACATATGGCATATACCATGTTAAACCACTATGAAAATAAATAGAACTCGTATTAGAATCTGATTCAGTTTTAATCAGATGCATTATTCAATTGAAAAGAATGTACATGTAAATTGTTATTTTGTATATTATAGTTAGAGAAATAGTAAGAGACGCATTACTGTAGTACCGGCGATTAAAGTTCAAGGAATAACATTTAAATGATTCAAGAGTAAACAGAATTAGTAGTACAAGTAGGTATTTAGTTAGTATCTTAACCAAAAGCTAATGATTAATAGATTGAGAAATTGAGATTTAGGATGTATACGGCTTGAATCCGGTTAAGTTGTATAAAATCTATTGCCTACTTTTTTAATAATAATAATAATAATAATAATAATAATAATAATAATAATAATAATAATAAAAAACTATAGTGTTATATTTGAGTCAAATTTTTGTATTTTTTATTTAATCTAATTCAACTTAATTTATTTTTTATTGAGTTGGATGGAGTTAAATTAGTTGGATTATAAATTTTAAAAAAATTATTAATTATTAATTTAAAATTGTATATATTTAAATTCAGAATAGTTTTTCTAAATAAACTATATTATTTATTATTCAAATAGTTTAATAATGTATAATTTAAAAAATATATATTTAGTTAAATAGTAATTAAATAAATTAAGTAACAGTTATTTTGATAATAATAATAATAATGTTATTTAATAATTTTAATATCGCAGATTAAGTTGAATTGAGTTTCAAATTAACCAAACAAAATATATCATTCAATTTATAGAAGATTGAGTTAAATTAAATTTCATCAAGTAAAACAATTAATCTAAAATCAGGTAGAATCTACTCAATAAAATAAATCATCTCTATTGATATTTATTTAAGTTTAAACTTTATTTTTTTTATTTTTTTCTTTCATAAGCACGGATGAAACCAAGAAGATTGTGGGTCAAATATAAAAATTGGGACTCATTTAAAAACTTATATAATATTAAATTGTATTTAAAATTTATAAATATGAATTTTTTAAAACAATAACAAAAATATTTATCCTCAATAAAAGTCTTAACAAAATATTTTATCAAGATTAATACATATTCTTTCAACTATGTCACTGCTTCTTCTTCATTATTCTAATTTTTGACATTTTTTAGTTTGATGCGGCTCAGCCCATGGTAGTTTGCACGTGGATTCGAATAATTAGGGAAAGAGCACTTATTTGTGACGGTGGAATGCTGACCTAATAACAAGAATAAATAATAACATACTCCTACAAGTATTTTATCAGTTTATGATTATTTGAGATAGAAATATTTGTATTCCAAAATAAAGATAAAAAATTCAAAAAAAAAAAAAAGAGTGTAGGAAAGTAAAATTAAGTAAGCAAATGAAATAATTGAATTAAAAAAATAAAAAATATTTTTATTTTTATTTGAAGTGGATGCGACAATTCAATGACGTGGTTCCTTTTTATCTTTGGGAAAGTTGGAATAAAAACAAGTTTTGATGCATTATTGCGTTCTTCTTGATCTATGTCTTGCAAATGGAAATCAGATACAGCATTCCATAATCTTTAATAATGGATCAGAGGAGAAGTCGTTGGTGTAAAAGGAACAATATTCAGTTTACAACCAAAAACCTAAACTATCGTTGGATGGTAAAACTGCATTCCGCGTGTTATGGTAATACGAGTTAGGGTAATGGATACGTGATTTTAGTTCCTAAATTTGGTCACTTTATCAATCACCCGTTAAAAAAATATTTATATATTAAAATTAAAATAAAAAAAATTATAATTAAAAATATCATATATTTTTTAAATATGTAAATATATTGTAATATTATGATTTAAATTATAAAAATTAATCAATTAAATTATTAATTATAATTAATTATTTTAATATATAAATATAATTTTATTTATTTATCCAATAGAAATATTATTTAATAAATAAAAATTTAAAAATTATTCAGATAACTAAATTTTTTTAATACATATAAAAAAATTATTTATAAATTGGTTTAATGGTCTGTTAGCTTATTCTTTATTAAGTGTGAATTAAGATTTATAATTGGTCTTAATTACAGTAAGTTAGTCTAATTAATCTTATTTTTAACATGTTCAAAAAGAAATAATGAAAATAAGATTGATTTAAAACAAGTCAGATCAAAACGGGACAAATAGACCGTTTTATCATCTTTAACTACCATTACATAAATTTCTCCCTAAAATAATTTTAGAAAATAAAATAGATTTTGTTATAATTGTGGTCTTAATATTTAACAAAATTCACAATTTTGGTCTTTAATTTTTTGGTGTAATCAACAATAGCAAAACATTTGTAACAATTAGCACATTAAAGTTAAACAAAGTGGTGTTTCTTTAAACTTAACATGGCTAAATATAGTGCCCACACAAGCACCACAAAAATCACTATATCATTTGCATATTACACTATCTTGGGTCAACACAACACTCTCTCTCTCTCTCTCTCTCTCTCTGCTATTTATTATTTGGTGAGGTAATTGGGAGCTGCAATGTTTCTGTTTCTTTTGTTCTTGCTGGTGAAGATGACGTGCCATTTTCATAGTCTTTCCCTTTCCCCCACACCACAGAGTAAAGTCCCACTGCGATAATGATGCCTCCAATGATACTGAAATCAGTGTTCAGAAAAAGATTATTATACATGGAAAACCTTTTGATGCAAAATTAAACAAATAGAGACAAGGCATATACATTGTTGATAAGCTTCAAGAGTGGATAAAGGAGATAGAATTCACAGTTACTTAGTCTTCTTTTGTCTATGAAAATGACAAACTGAAGAATTTAAACTATTGAAATCTTTGCAGGATTGTGCAAAAAACTATGCTAAATAAATGGGCCAGGCCCAGAGGAATAAAATAGTAAGATACCTTCCAAGGTAGAGGTGTTCTCCAAGAAGAAAGGAGCCCAAAGCAGTGACAATGATCATGCAAAGAGGATTAAATGATGTCACAAATACTGGGCCTCTGCTTTGCATTACCAGCCCTTGTATATAATATGCTATTCCTGAACTCATTATTCCCTATAATAATAAAATAAAACAAAAACTAAGGATAAGTTTGGTTTGGAAGAACATTTTACACTATATAAAATTCATTAAATAATCACTAATTTAATCATAAAAACATTTCGTCATTATAGTGACTAAATTAATCTAATTAATTACTATTTAGTTAAACTTTTTTTTGAACTACTTTAAATATTAATTACTAAATTTTTAACTATAAAAAATAGATTCTAAATTAATTTTTAATTGAATTAGTGACTAATTTTATTATTTTAAAAAAACCAATATTTAGTTTCTAATAATAATTTTCTTGTAGTGTTATTTCCTATTTTATACATAATTATGAATATGGCTTTATTAATTCTTCCTTTATAGTATAAATATTTAAAATAAGAAATAAAATAATATGGTCATAATTTATAAAAAAAATAGAATAAAGTAATACTTTTTACACGCAAAATTAGTTCTAAAACTTTCTTATCTCTTAGTAGTTTCATTTGATATTGCATGTACAGGTATATTTCTTAATATTACTTTCTGAAATAATACATTTATCAATATTGAAAACGTGTTTTATGGGGATTGTATCTCTAGTTTCTTTAATAAAGAATACTTTACGTGCACAGATGCTTTTACTTGTAAACGCAACCCTGCAAACAAAATGAAAAAGAAAAAAGAAAAAGGGTTCCAATCACTTGTACTATTTCAAATTGTGAAAAAGGAAAAAACTCTGTTATAAAATATGGTACCATTTTGAGAAATCCAACTACAAAATCTACTTTAATGTTTAAATTTATTTTACCTACACATAATAAAATATTCTAATACATGAAAAAACAAAAAATTAATTTTAGAATAACAGTACTTTAAAACTGCGTTAAAAAATTTAAGAAAAATGGAAATTGTGAGACTAACAGTGTATAGAGGGCCATAGAGGGTGTAGTCGAAACGTATCGCCCATGCACGAGGGTTGTGATCTGCAATGAGAGCTACCACAGCACTTTGCAATGCACCTGCCAAGCATATCAACGATGACAGTGACAGTTCCGCAGGGTACCTTTTCACCGTTATGGACTGCACAATTACATTTTATTTTTCATTAGAGATTCAATCACATGCATACATAATTTCATTGTTGTGTGTTTATATTAAGAGTCATAGCTTATATAATGATACCAAGATAAAAACCAAGTTTACATGTGAACTAATCATATAATTATTATGATTAGATAACAATGTTAATATACTCTGAATGAAGTTACCTGCAATATGTAGAAGGAAGACCAAGCCAGACAACCGAGGCAAATGAAGAGAGTTCCTGTGACCCAGTGTGAATGATTATTCTGAGAGGAGTGACTTCCACCTTGTTGGTGAGTTGTGTTTGAGTGATGAAATAGGTCAAACTGAGGACCTTTGTATAGTGTCATTAACAAAGCCCCAGCAAATGTTACCAAGGTTCCCACCACCTTCGCTTGACTACGTAGTTCCTTGATTCTTACACGCTCTAACCTGATACCAGACAAAATAGCATATATAATTTCATTGGAGTAAGCAAAAGGGTAACGATCATTTGGGAAGAAAAAGTAGAAAGAAAATTTAAAGTATTAGAACTGTTTGTTGAAATGAGTAATAAATAGGACCTCACCTGAGAATTACTGCAAGCACGAAGGTTACAGAGGGTACCGCATTCATAACAGCAGATGCAAAGGAAGCAGAAGTGTATTGCATCCCCAAGAAAGTGAAACCTTGGTCAACCACTGGCCTACAATATAAAATACATAGAACAAATTATGAACATGCACAAAAAGTTTCTTCTTGTCTTAATTTAGTCATGTGAATGATTAATATTTCCTCTTCGTTTTAACTTTTATTCTTAATTTAATGCTGTGTTCGAAGTTGCTTTGATTGTTTGAAAGGATAGCAGTAAACCACAAAGGTGGAATTTGCGATCTTTTATCCTTTTGTTTTTCTGTAAAACTTCCTTTTCAGAATTTTGAATTACTGGTCAGAATCTTTAATAATTTAGTAATTAGTTAGTTGAATATAAACCTGTTCCTTCCATCAATCTTTTTGTCTAACAGTGATTAACGTGGTAAGTGGGTTATTTATGCGAACTTTAACAATTTCATGAGTGGAAACCAGAGAACAAAAAGGACAGTTTCTTTCAAACAGGAAAAAAGAGTGGAATGATAAAACCATTCTTAATTAAAAGAAATCAAGTCTAACCTATAGGCTAGTAATATTATAATAAGATACTCTTTTTTGAAAAAAAAAAAGGTTATGAGATTACCATAACTGAAGTTGAGGTGATGTCAATTAAGAAAAAATAGGTAAAAAATGAACCAGTGCTTCTCCAATATATCAAGTAAACTAACATATAAGTTTAGGGTAATTACTCAAGAAATCCAAGTACTAGTATCTGTACGAAGACAGTCCATGTCATCTTTGGCCTAACTTTCCTGCAAAAATTGCAACAAAATAGTTAATTAAACTAGGTAATTACTTCTCATTTATAACACATTGAAACAGCATAAATGAATAAATTAAAAAGTAGCAGAAAGTGATTAACTAGCACCTTTCAAAGATCAAGGCGAAGGGAGCAAGAGCCAATGCAGCAATAGCATTGCGATACACAATGAACACCAAACGACTCATTCCATGGTTGAGACTTGCCATGGTGAAGAGGTATGTCCCTGCCATCCCAAATTGCAACCCAACAGTTAACACATATGGCTTGGCCTTATTGACCATGTTGCCAACTTTGGCTCCACATATTTCTTCCATGGTTTCACAAATGTTGCAATATCTGTTAACAAGGGTTGGAAGGATTAGTTGTGCTATTATGTGCATGAAATTGTATTCCTATATATAACACCAGGACCAATGATTAAGACAAAAACAATTAGAATCCACTACCCACAGCATGTAGATAAGTGTCGTAGACCACTGTTTAAAGTTTTCCTTTAACTTAGATCACGCCATCCAATTTCTCATGTAAAGTTCCACTCACCAACTAAAAAGGAAAAGCTATATTATTTAGTGGAGTGCATAGCCTTAGACTCGCTTGCATAATCACCAACTTGACCAATTGTAATGAGTCAGAACACACTTCAGCAACAGTATAAATTTAAATTATTACCCACAGTTTTTCTCTGTTGCTTGTTAGTAACATTTAACCACTGTTCGATCAAACGTACTAACGTTTTCGAGTTTTTTGTTTGCACTAATAGCAACTATAGCAAGTGATGAATGGCTGAATAGGTTAAATTAAAAGTAATAAAAGAATTAATATCTTGGTAAAAGTTAGTCAGTGAAAGTTCATAACACTGTGTGTGTCCTTCGAGAGGAACTGTTATTTGAAAAATATTCAGTGCAAAAACTCTCAAAACTCAAAACTAAAGCTGTGGATGCAAGTTGTCTGTGGCTGTATCCAATCTTAGAAAAATTAATCTATGGGATCCATTATTTTGAGTGGACACATCCTCGTAGCCACGTATGGTTCTGGTATCATTACAAGGGTTTAGTTTTCTTATGTCATCATTTTGCAGTAAACATTTTCATGTTTAAAATTGCTTTGTGCTAACAATTACAATCGCTATATCATGTAAAGTTTTTCACACCATCATTCATCCAGGTGTGTGGACAAATAATTATATTATTATAGACCATATTAGATTATGTGTTGACCATTAAGAATATTTATTTTGGTCCCTAATGTTTTCAAAATATGCAAAACAACTTGTTGCTTATATTTTCTTTAGAGTTAAGTTGATAGATTTGTTAGATGAGACAAACTTTAGTCCGAAATCATTATTAGGAAAAAAAATGCAAATTAGCACTTTGAATTTTGAACGTGTATTGGTCCTTTTAAAAAGTTGTGTGCATTTAATGTTTGTATGTTACTTGGTGAAGATAGATTGTCAAGCCATTTGTTTGGTCGTTACGTTGATATATATATATAAATATGGTAAGGTTAAGATAATCTAATCCTATAATTTTAGTGAATAACAAAACTGATTAGATGAATAAAAGTGCGCATCGTTAATTTGTTTATTTTAGGTCAAAAAAAGAAATATGAGAAATCATCCAATTAAAGATGTGGACTCTTGAAAGGATCAAAACTATTAGGATAAATATGTGAGTCAATATTAAAAAAATATGATAACTTTCTGTAACATTCCTGAACACCAAGAAGCATTATACCACCATTATTTGTACTTTATATGTTAGGTATTGATGGTGTATGTTATGATAAATTCGTGACTATCATGTTTAGAGTGGACAATATTTGGATGTATATATATATATATATATATATATATATATATATATATATATATATATATATATATATATATATATATATATATTTAATATTTTGATGTGTATGTTAAAAATAAAATTGTGACGGATTAGAACGTTAAAGTGGACAATACTTTAAATATAAAACTTGATCAACAATGTTATCATTGTAAGCATGACGCTAGGATACTATCATTTCAAAACAGAACAATTGGTGCTCATTGATCAAAAATAGAGTCTCATTTATAGATAGAACAATATATAAAATAACATTTTTTCAAACATTTAGACCTCTTACATTAATTTAGACCATGTTCAATTGGTTCATGGCATCACCACTAAAGTGGACATGGATGTAGAGTAGGCACAAGGGATACATCAAAATTAGAAATTAAGTCTTTATCTTCTTTCTTATTGAGTTTTAGGTTTTGGATTTTCCCAATCTCTTATTCGTTTTGTCTTCCATCTACATTATTTATAAAAAATTAATTATATTTATAATAAATTAATTTTAATATTTTATGTATTTTTTTATACATAAATAAATATTTATACTTTTATAATTTGTAATTATTAATTAAATATATATTTCAATTTATTATATTTATATTAAAATATGTATGTAAATAAAATATTTAATTCTTTATTCTTTGTAGAGATATAGAATATTTATAACATTATTATTATTATTATTATTATTATTATTATTATTATTATTATTATATATTCAAACATTTGATTACATATATAAATAAATTCTTTTTGAGTTATGATTTAAAAATATAAAATATATAGTTTATAAGAAAATATTTAATAAATTAATTCATATTAATTAGTTCAAAATAATAAAAGTTTAAATTATCAATTCTTTGTAATCTTTTAAAATATAATTATTTTATTAAGATAAAATTTAATATATGACAAATAAGAATAATAAGATCCAAAAAAATTGACATAATAAAATCTAATAAAGATAAATTATAAATAAAATAATATTAGTTGCTACTAAAATTTATATAAAATATTTAGAAAAGGATAAAGAAGAAGAAAAATTAACTTTGTGTTCATCAAATTATTTGAAAAGATTGATAAAACAAATTAATTGAAGAGATTTATGAAATATGAAGAAGTGAACGGTGAGAGAAATAAAATAATATAATGAACTAATTGATATAAAAGATTAAAAAATATAAAAAATTAAAAATGTGTAAAAAAAAAATAAAAATGATAAAATATAAAAAAATAATCTAAAAAATATATTTTTAAAATATTAATATTTTAAAATTTAAATTTAAATATAAAATTATCAGATACACTGTCACGATGTCCGGTTTGGATTTCATTACTCGTTGCCCGCTCCCTTCACAAATTTTAAAAAGTAGGTAAAACTGGGATCTGCTACCTTTCCCAATGAATTTAGTTTTTTTTTCGTCAAATTCGAGGTAAATAACGGATCGACCTGTGGATACGATTGAATCTCCGCAGGTATGGATTGAACCATCGTTATAAGGGTTTAATTGTCATCTAGTTAGGAGGAACCCATAACCCGCGTGGACGAGAATGAGACTGGTAAGCTAGGGTTTCCTACCCCTTCTTAGGGCTTTGTGCAAGGAAAAAAGTGTTGTGTTCTAAGATGTCGTGTTAAGGTCAATTATCCATTGTGGTTTGAAGTTGAGTATCTAACTCAAGATTTTTTTTGTTAGAATAAATACTAATTAAATTTAAAAATAGGAGCATTTTGTATTTAAAAAATGACATAATTATGAGTGAGAGGGAAAAGAGAATACAGTGGTAATATATTCTAAAGACACATGGTTGCCCATTACATAGCTCAGCATTTAAGATGAGACAGCAAAACATAGAGAAAAGCAGAACCATGAATAATGATGAAATGAGAAGAAAGAAAAAAAGAAACCAAAAAGGACAATTCAAAAATAGTGGGAAGAAGATCGTGAAGAATAGGAAGAGTGCAAATAGGAGTGTGATCTGATCCATGCAAACAATAATGCAAATAGGAGCCAGATTCCCTTACAAACGTAACAATGATTTTCTATCTTCTTGGAAAATCAATAAAACATCATAATGTGTTGCATTATTGTCGTCCATACATCTGGTCAAACAATTTCAACTCATTCATCCATTCATTCTTTTCAGCTTCATCAAAAGTTCTTCTTTTCTTTTATGTATCTATTCATTCTTGTCCCTTTCAACTTGCAACTAGAACAGTTTTCACTCCACCGATAGTAGACAAGTAAGAAGTAGTTCAAATTTTAATAAAAGTAATAAAAAAAAGAGGAGAAATTTTAGAATCAATTTTCAAACTGAAAAAATTATACTAGAATTAGACCAATTCAAATATTAAAAGTTCAAAGTTCATCACAATTATTATAAATTAGAATGAATGTTATAAATATAAATTATCAACTTTAAAATAAAGTAAAAATATAGTAAAATTATTATTTAAAGTTGACACGTGTGCAAATTAACTTTTTGTTTTAATATTATATCTTTTATAAAAATTTAAAAATTTTGATCTTTTTATTTTATTACCAGACTATTAAAAGATTTAGTTAATTTTTTTATTTTGTACCATTTTAATTAAAATTTGACTATTAAAAACAATAAACTAATTGGACTAGATTCAATTTTCAAAATAATAAAAAATGGATATCCTTTAATTTTGGCTAATATATGATATTTTGATTTTGAGGACTTAAATTATATGATACATAATATATATTATTTTAATTAGAACTCTAGTCTAGTCTATTTAATTTTTTTATTATAAATTATTTACTCAATATTTACACTTTATAGAAATTCTATTTTTTTTGGAAAAATTCTTTTAACTATGTCTCTTAACAATCGATTTCATAGCATTCATTATGAAGGAAGTGCACACACGAAAATGATGGTTAAACGTTATTAAAAGGTTGAACAAAGACGTATCAAGTATGATTATTCACTTGAATAGTGAGTGGAATCCCTTTTTATGCATGTTTTGCTTAAATAGTTTGCCCAATACGCACCATTCGTCCTTATCTATTCCTAATGCAATAAAAACCAACTTACAAAACTTTAAAGTGTGGATAAATTTCATCATACAGAATACAAAAAAGGTAAATGAATTAATTCTTTAAAAAAGTAATTTTAGCTTATAGAAAAAGTTAACGTATTTTGTTTATTTTTTAAGACATGACTTTAGTATTTAAAAAAAAAAAAAAAAAAAACTATTCGTCCAGTTTTGAGTAATGAAATCGTGAAGGAGACCCCTCTCTACGTAAGCAACTATGCATGCATGTCTTTATACGTTGAAAATGGTCAACAAGCTGACGAAGTCATATATATAGTTTCGTATGTTGGAGTCTTATCATATTTCTTATTGTTATTAAAAAAAGAAGATATTATTGCTTCCTTTATTTTGATTTTCTTAATGTGATTGACCAACTTTTGTGTTTAAAGTGCTTATTCACGATATTAAT